GTAACTTCAAAGAGCAATTTAAGTATTTTGGTCAAAGGAAATCAACTTTGGTTGCATAAGTAAAGTTATTCAGCGGGTTCGAAAATATGTGCATATAAAATATTATTATGATTGGATTAATAGTAGTAAAGTTATGAACGTTTTTATAATTATATTAGCAGTCATCAAATTTGCAGATTTATCACAACTTGTAATTTTAAATTCTGCATTTAAAATAATATATTAGTATCTTTTTTTTTGAAAAATAATCAAATGTAAAAATGTATTAATATTTTTTTATATTTTTTAAAAAAATTATTAAACAAAATTAATAATTGTTTGGTTTTCTTTTTTAGACAGATCAGGTCAGGTCAGGTTAGGTCAAATGTATATTTAATTCAGGTCAATTTTATGTCTGACCTGACCTGACCTATTCAGAGCTCTAGTATTATCCTCGTGGACTTACAATTTACCAACAAACAAAAACTAAGAGTAATTAATTGTTATTCTTCACCTGGTAATCACACTATCAGAAAACAGATACAAGTGGACCTTATGAAATACCTATAAGATGCATATACAAAGAACTATCATCTGGTACTATTAGGGACCTCAACGCTGATATAGATAATCCTAAACTACATTTTTAAGATAAAAGATTCTTTTCTAGTTTGAATAACCTCAATTTATTTGACACTTTCTCAATCAAATATGATACATAAAGGTCTGAATACCCCACTCATCAAGATCCAATATCATCTTCTCGTATTGATTACATTTGGTCCTCAGTTGATATCATCTCAAACTTTATAGATTGTGAAATAGTTCAACTCGCATCCACTTTAACTGATCACTCTATAGTCTTTCTTTATGTCGAAAACTTCTTGGATATTAAAAATAATAAAAGAAATATTCCTTTAAAAAAGATCTATGACTATGACAAAATGACTAAGGATAAATGGTTGGCCTTCGCAAATAAAACGGACGCTTTAAATAATGGTTACTATTTACATTATCTCAACAATAAAACTGTACTTAATCAAAATAAATTAAACTGATTTTGGGATCTCTTATAAGAGTGTATCATTAAGGCTGCTGATTCTACAATCCTAACACACTAATCAAAAAGGCACCATACTATAAAGAAACCTCCTCTCCTGTCAAAATTGTACAAAGACTTAAAGCTATTATATAAACTGAAGAGATTGGTAAAGAAAATGGTGGTTACATCTAGTCTTCTCCCACAATAGTCAACCTTAATAGATAAATTTTACACAATTATAAATAATTTTGATATAGAATATGTAAGGCTTTCTCCTAATCCCACTGTTATCATCACACAATCTATTCGTTCTAATATTGATCTGCTATTAAGCTGCATTCTTGTAAAATCAAAATTATATGAACATGATTTTAAATTAAAATCTATTCAACTCATTATTGAAAGAAAATTGGAAAACTATAGTATTTTCCTGCACATATGACAAATTCTCTTATGGACTGATCCAAACAGATAATTATCATTGATAGATGTATTAATAATAATTCACTATCATGTGATCTCTTGATTAATGAAGATGAAGTCAAAAATGAAGTGGCTAGATACTTTTAAATGGCAGCTGGCATATCTCATGAGAATGTACAGCTAGACGAGGAGTGGCTTCTAAAGATGGTTTCCATAATTATTTTTAAAATTTTTAACTAGTTGCAACTTAAGTTGCAACACTTTGAGTTGCAACAT